AAAGCGATTGAGGATTACTTGGAATGAGTCGAGGATTCACGGAAGTTGACATGGCGGCTGGCAACCGACGGCGCAGGAGCCCACAGTGGTCATGAGCGTTCATCGAAATTATTTGAAGTTTTTCAAAATCATTCGAAGTTACCTTGCTGGCAGATGTTTTTGACCTTGAACCAAAGCCAATAATATACTTCCTATAGCCGGCATTGTCAGCTCGCCTCGATGGGAATTTCGCTCGCCGAGTCCGAGATCGACAATGGCCAGTCGCCGACGACCACCTGGAAAAATAATCGAGGAGTAGCTCACAAAATGATTGTTTTGGATCACTGCCCAAAATAAGAAAAGAAAATAAGAAATAAGAAAATATCACCTTTCAAAAATTATTATATTACTGATACTCAAGATAGAAAATAAAAATAAATAAAAATAATAAACATTAGCAAATAAAAATAAAGTAAACAAGAAATAAAAAGGACTAAAAATCAGTACAATCAGTACATTTAAGAGCATATGGAAATCACCTTCAAGCTCGTTGGTACCGGTTCGGTAGGCATAAACAGATAGAAATACAAACACGTGGCTAGTACGGTAGGTTTCTTCATCCTCTGAAACATATTGCCCTTGAGTTTGGTTTCTCTTCATAGAAAAAAAAAGACCACCCACCAATGATCCTATGATCAGCCACTGTATTCAAGTAGAAGAGGGCTAAATCTGGAGAATCGACTCGGATCTCAGACTCGTTCTCAAGTAGAGCTCCAGCTCGCGGATCGTCGACGACACGTACAGTTCGACGACGTGGATCTGCAATAAGCAGTTAGAGCCTTAGCTTTCAGAATCAAAGGCGATAGTTGGCGTACCGCTACTAAATGGTGACAGCAGGTCGGTGAGATGGTTTTCTCGTTGCGAGTACTGGATAGCTGACATACGAATCTGATACCGAGTATCAGGCTTACTCACTCTGAAAGTAGCAGTTACTTATCGCGAATTCCGATCTTTCAAAAGCATGGAGTCCTAGCAGGTGCACAAATTTTGTGGAAAGATATCGTAGAAAACATTGGTGGCAAGTTTGAGAGCGGGTGACTTCCTACGGCTGCAATTTTCGAAGGGTTTTTTAGGAAATATGTAGAGGTCCACTTTCTCCTCAACGATGGGGAGGTTACAAACCCATAAACTTCACGAAATAATGCCGAACTCTGTGCGAACATTTGCTTCTAAAACGAAATCGGTCACGGTGGAACTAACCTGTATTCATCGGTGATTTTGAACACTGATGTGATAGCCGTCTGAAATATACCAGCCGTCGACGGTGGTGCACCATATAGAAGACACTCTTTCCCTGAAAGACATAGATCTATTCAGATGGAACATCTCAATCATTGTTAAGTCTGTAACCAGCATAAGCCGAGGTCCGGAAGAGCCTCACATAAGTTCTTCCAAAAAACCGCAGTCCCACACGGTAAACTGCATCTGTGTTTCTCCCATAGCATCTGCTCTTCATGAGAACCCTGCCAATCACTGCACGCGAAATTTCGCACAAGCCTAACTTCTCGCCTGAAGATGTCATCCGATCTTCTCCGAGTAGCTGTAAAGCGTCGCTAACGGACGAGGCAATCGGCGCCGCTCCGACTTCTGTGCTGTGGATGGTGTGAGAGAGTGGGTGTGAGAGTGAGTTCCAATCCACAAGCAAACAATAAGAACTCATCGACGGATCGAGTTTCATCACCCCTGACAGCCTCCCAGAACGATCCCTTCAGGCTGGATTGTACCAAAAAAGTTTCCATGAAGAAACTGCCAAATTGGCAAGTTAGCTAGAAAAAGCTCATCTCTCGGAGAGAGAACCCCTGGACTTGTCGATGATTTTCGACAGCCATTGAAACAGTGAGCATGGATTATGTCCGAGATCCTCATAGGTCATAGACCCCCAGAGACCGTCTTAGTAAACTAACAACCACAGAATGACGAAAGGTCATATTTTGTGATTGATCGATTCCGTTTCAGGATACGCCATCGCATTCAACCTATATCAGGAATCGTGGTAGGGTTTCAAAGCTTATTTGACCTGTTCCTTTCGGCCCAGTCTATGGACAATGATAGTGTCATTCAAACAAGTATGATTCCAATTCCCATGAGGCTATGGCAGTTGGCTTGACGGCATGGACTCCAGCATTCAATCTGAGACCATTAGCGAAGTAATACGGTTCTTGGCAGTACTGCAACCCTGTCTCAGTCGGCAACCGTGAAAGTTTAAAAACCAATTCGTTATTAATTTGAAGGTGAAGAGGTAGTAGGAAATGTAGAGAAAGCCAGACGAACCCGTAAACGATTATCGGTGGAAAACATCTACCGATGGAGCGCGATAAGATCAGAAAACGTTCCCCAAAGTAGTGGCACTTTAGTAGGCGAATTCAGCAACAGAACAGTACTAAGAAACGATTTGTTTCCCCTGGACAACTCTGGTTGAATAGTAGACATCATACAGATGATGGAATTTATTCAAGACCCTTCATCGCAACCGATCCTATATCACAGGCTAGGAAAACTTGGTTCAGGTCAAGTGACGCACTGGGGCTCTTAACTTAGNCAAAGACCAATTCGTTATTAATTTGAAGGTGAAGAGGTAGTAGGAAATGTAGAGAAAGCCAGACGAACCCGTAAACGATTATCGGTGGAAAACATCTACCGATGGAGCGCGATAAGATCAGAAAACGTTCCCCAAAGTAGTGGCACTTTAGTAGGCGAATTCAGCAACAGAACAGTACTAAGAAACGATTAATTTCCCCTGGACAACCCTGGATGAACTAGTAGACATCGTACAGTTGGTGGAATTTATACAAGACCCTTCATCGCAACCGATCCTATATCACAGGCTGGGAAAACTTGGTTCAGGTCAAGTGACGCACTGGGGCTCTGACCTTAGGTGACCTTAGATGGCCCGGGGTGACTGTCCTTCATGTCGCTGGCATTCAGCCAAAAACCTTTTTCCTCATTTCTCAAATACGGCTCTTGTCTTTGGTTTTGAAGTTGAACTACTTCTTCGCATCCTGACCAAGCTGATGTCGTTGGCGGGGTAATCAGTCCCAAAGCAAGTGGGCGAGTGCCCATTTGTTAAATCGATATGGTCGCCCATTTATTACTGGTTGGTCAGGTGCGAGAGGGGAATTCCAGTAAATTATGTCCCATAAATCCGGTCAATCGTGTTTATATTGATAGCCAGCTTGTAAACGAGTTTTGTGGCGTTTGTTTACCTTCACTTTGCTGCTAACCAACCATTTTTCGTAAACAATTACAAAAACAACCTTCTGCTCCCACTCCCACGTATGTGATTTTGAGCAAGCCACTAAGTATATGTAGGTAAGCAGTGAACCGATTCTTGAACGACAGTCCTAGTGCTTTCTCTATTTCGGATTTGTTCCACCCACTAGGATACACTGGCACTGCAGATTCAATAATTACCCTCACTTCACTAAATATTTGCCGATCTTCATGGGTAGTTACTGGGGAGCCGCCTTCTTCAAGTGAGGGACCACAATTGAACGGCCTTCGACCCCAACGCCACGATGGCCCGCGGAGGGTTTCAATTTCAAAGACGCTCGAGCCACCACCATCGGGACCCAATCACAGCCACTTCAGACGAACACCATTACGCAATGAAATGAACGGGGAAATCCCGCACTGGCGCCCGCGCGACAACGTTCTTCGACCCGATCGGCCTGGAAGTCCACAAGCTGGATCAGAATTAGAAACCGAAAAAATTGAGACACACACGTGCCCAGCTTCGTAACAAAACTGCACGCTTTCCAAAAGTTCGGGCTCAATTTTGAGACAATAATGTGGAGGACTTTTAGGTAAAAAAAAATACTCTGGATAGAGCAATTCTCACGTAAAGCGATTGTTGCCATCACAAAAATGGAAAATCATATGGGGTGGTTTGAAGTGTTATTCCGAATGGGAGGTTCACAGAATATCAGCAAAAGACGGAATACCATCTTCACCTGGCCTATGAATATAAATCATGATCATGGTTATAAATAAATCAATCATGGATGTCACCTGGTCTATAAATACTTATAAATCACCCTTAGAAACAGGTGGTTACCTTCAAGATTAATTTCCTACGTACTGAAATAGGGCAATACTCAATTGTTAACCTAAGAGCTCAAATCTTAGTGAAATTTTCAATGGTTTTGCTGTTGTTCACTTTGATTCCCCGTTCTACATTTTTCTACGCAAGGAAGATACTCCTGATTTGCTAGGAACTTCATTACTGGAGCTCAAACTCCTGCAGTTCGCAGGGTAGTGCTTAGCTGCTCGTGGATGCTCACCTCGTGACTTGGCTCCTAATGCTATCAACGTGCAATCCTGCCCGCTGAACACTCCCTGAACGAGCTCCGGCAGTACGTTTGAGCAAATTTTTTCCTGAATCATATAAAGTTTTGTAATAAGCATCTGAATAAAAGCGACAGTTCAGCGATCCTACCTGGGCAACATCCGGTCCAAAAACATTCTCGAAAGCGTTTTTCGAGTGAGGCTTGACCGCACCAGCAATGTGAATTTGATTCAGAGCCGGCACGGTAACGTTCCCTGTAGCGACGTCATCTCCTGACACCATTGCGCATATTCGTAACTGAAACTTGGAAGCTGTAGAGATTACGGCCAGAATAACTAGAAGCACATCGGAGATTGCACTCGTAATTCTTTCAGACAAAGTTATTACTATATTAAGAGTAACACTCGCATTCTTCCCGTTAGGTCAATTCCCAACTAGCACTAGGATTCCTCCTGCAAGTAGAAAGCCTAACTTTTATTGTTCACACGAAGCCCCTAGGTATGTCGAATCGTATAAACAACCCATATAGGTAGGTATCGTGTCGATCATCTTATATTGCCAATCCTACAGAGCTTACCTGAGGATCGATTCCACTCAGAATGCTTAGAATTTTCAAAAATATAGAAATACTACAAGTCCATGCATAACTACTTCACTTCACTAAATATGGGTAAAACTAGCTCAACTGCTCATTTTCCCCATCGGTAGCTCTAGAAATAATCATTTTGTCATTAGCCCAAGGTAACGCTATGGTGAAAGAAAACGTACGTGAAATCTGCCGTAAGTAGGTGTTGAGCAATCTTCCTACATGATCCGACTGTCTCTCTGAACTCTGAGTTACCCACTCGTTAACCCCAAAGTCGAATGCGGGAACGCATCCTTCAAATTGATCAACGCCCAAAGACTTTATCTCTTATGCTTTTTTTAACTACACAAAATGTCTGGGTGAGGAGAGGTGATAGTGAGGGGTACTGAACTATTTTACGAATTGGAATGTGAAAGATCATCATCAAATGTGACCCTTCCTTTCCAGGGTGACCAAATAAGGCTTCTGAAAGGCTTGAAACTGAATTATTCCAGCGCATACCACGACGTCATCTTGACACTCCTTCCACTTTAAATTGAAGGATCCGAGCGTGAAAACGAAAGTATGTCTTTTCTCTCAGGATGAAGTGAAAACGCCAAAAGAGCATTCTCTGTTATTCCACGACACACATAGATCACCCACAATTTCTTTGAGCAATGTGTGCAGTCTCAGGATCCTACGAAGCTACATCAACTTCCCTACTGCCCCTCTTGCCCCTGTGCATTGCCCGTACTGTATCTATGGGGTATGCTATATATCTATCTAAACCTCACTATAGGCGAAAATCATGAATAACAACCGACGTATTGTATCTAACAAGGGTCATACCCGCAGCGGGGTGTCCCGCAGAGGAGCAGCGGCACATAATTGGTCATCAAATCATGGAACAACTCGCTTACACTAACAATAACATCGGGATAATTTCCTTCAGAAAAACGAAAAATGAACAAGAAATGAATGGAAACTCAATCACAGTGTTATTGTAATAATAAGGATTACTTGATCTATTCGGTACAATAAAACTCACAAGTCAAGGGTTTGAGTTGGGTGAAACAACCGCTGGCCTGCATATATAAGAGGTGTGAGCCCAGTTTACCGAGATAAAATGGTTATTAACTTCTGGAGGGTATCCAAAACCAGCCTGATCTGATCTCGGCATTTTCCGGTTATTTTTTACAACTTCGGGAATTGTACTTATTTGAATTAACTTTTAATATACTGAAGGTGATCACTTTCTCTATAGCCCCATGCAAGTCTCAGCCGAAAGTCAACAATTCCCATTCATTTTTCGTTGGTAGTAGAACGTTGGCGACCAAAAGACATAAAACCCTCATTTTTCGGGTGTCAATGAAAGAGAGCTCCCTACGTGAGCCATACTTTACACCGGCGCGCGCCGAAATGACAGCAACGAATGAGCCTCGTAATAGAAAAACATTTAAAATGTCGAATTAAGTAAATCATGAAAAAATAGTCATACTCGAATGAAAAGGGTACGGAATTACAACATACCTTCGTGTTCGTTCGTATTGGCGACGGGGGTAAACGGGATTGAGCGGTTGTGGCGGCTGCTGGGACGGTGGCGGCAACGGTGGTCGTCGTGGTTGTGCCGCTAGAGGTGGCGAGCACCCGCTCCATGCCGCGCTGCTGTTGGGAACCTTAAGGGATCGGGTAAGGTCAGTTAGTATCATACACAAAAACGGACGACGCGAAAAATTAGCCGGTTACGAACAATTTCTATGAGAAAGAGAAACCACGAAGGCATAGGTTCACAATAAGCATTATGATGAATGGCGCTACAACTCAGAAGACCATCCCCTTGGATATTAGGAAACCTCAAGCGAATAGAATTCGGATTATATAGTTCAAAAGTGACACAGCCGACCTTTTCCATATCGGTAGCTGTGAAATAATTATATAAAAAATGCAAGCAAGAAATCAATCAACGGACGAGCTAATTCTGACCGGCAGCCAACCCCAACTTAAGCTACTGCTGGTTACTGCTACCCTACCTCTGAGCCTCTCCAGCTTTTGGGACAACTCTAACATTTTCCTTCTAAAAAATTTTCAATCCCTTCGATAACATGTGAATCAAAGGGCATGCTGGGAGGTCATGCTCATTTTCCTTTGAGCAGAACAGTAATCTGAGTACTCTCAATACCACGTTGCCTATCTTCATCTGTGTTTCCTTCAGCAATTGGTATGATTATGTAATCTAACTAATGAGGTTTATTTGATGGCGCACTTACGAGTGTACCTAATAAATAAATAAATATTACCTGAAAAGAAATAAATATACGAAATCTGGGAAAACTCCTTTCAAAGGTGGGACTCACAAAAGAGGACGACGGAAAAGTATTACTGAATGGGAATGTCCTAGAGTTTGACAAAAAACTCCCATGTGATATGGTCGTTAGCATGGAAGTAGCTAAAAACGAGCATCAAAATCCTGAACCCAAAAAAAATCTATTTGGAAGAACATGAATTTTTACAAGAAGCATAAAGGAAATGAAGATTGGTTGATCTAGTGAAAGAACTTCAACATATCCCGCCAGAATTCCTATCCCTATGGCGCTGAATTCCGTAGAACACCTCTTCTATAAAGAACTTTTCAAACAATAGCGGATTTTGAAATACATCCACAATATTCCAAAAGCTGATGAGTGAAAAAATGCTGAAAAACCAGTGCTGTGCCCGTGTCAGTGCCAAAAATGCAAGCGTGTCATGTTGAGTGCATAGGAATTTGTCTATCCAGCGTGTAGTCGTCTCAGATGTTGGACGTGCGCCGACGCTTGAAAGGAGGCGGAGGGAGGGCCCGTTCGGTCGTCGGTGACGGAAGGACCAGCCGGGTTTTGCTCAAACTCCGTCACTCACACAGCGATGCGCGACGACGATGGGCGGAGTCGTGGATAGGGTTGAGGTCGTTGGATGGAGGAGGAAGATGAGCCTCTAATGCAATAGTCTCGACCCCAATCAAACTCGTCCGTCTCCGTAAGGCCAAGCGAAATTCCAATGGATGACGAGCTATTGCTGCGAGCTTGATTACCATAACATAACCGCACCAATTTCAACTATACTACGAGGGGATAAGATTACTGAAACATCAATAGTCTACTGATCGATTCTAAGAGAAAAGCTTCGAGGGGTTTTTTGTGGTTTCGACTGATGTCGACCGACTGCCGTCAAAGGAGCTAGGTTCACTCGCAGATTTTCATTTCTAACCTTATGCAACCTTACAGACGAGGACAAAATGCTTTGCCCCGTCCACTAGTCTGATAGAAAAAAATTGACAGATTTGACTTTTATCAGAGCATTCAGGCACGGTGCCAACTATAAAGAAGGCTATCCCTCGAAAATTTGAAATAAATTTTCCTGGAGATTAGGTTGCTTGACAGCAAAGTATTCTACCGAGAAACGAACAAAATCGAAGAGTACAAAAAAAGAAATACAAGTGAAAGAATCAACACTCCCAATAATACTGCGTTGTTATTTCACAGCGTTAAGTAGAGAGATAGCCCAGTGCCTTTTTGACATAATTTTTCTACATTGATATGCAATTAATTAATTCTAATTATTTTGTTTAATAATACGGTTTTTAAAAATTTTTCGAAAGTACCTTGCGCTTCAGACAAGGACCAACCAGCAACTCTAATGGTTGGAGAGAGGAGGAGATATTTTTAACAAAAAACCAAGGCCACCCTGAGACCATATGTAAAACTGACCGGGCTGCTGTGATGGGTCTGCCTGTGGTCCCACTGCTTGTTTCATCGTGTAAGGAAAACATGGGAGCACAATTTCTTGGACTAGCCAAAACATGCTGAGGAAACGATGATGATTAATGGATTCGTTATTTCATGGAAACTTGAAATGGGGCAATCAGTGGGCAAGCCTTTCCTCAGAGACCTTGAAAATAACGAAAAAATTTGTTTCAGAAGTTCCCTGACTAACAAAAAAACTTTACATCCGATACAGCCCCAGAATGACCCTTATTAAAGCCACCCGTTTTATTGAACCGTCACCCGATTCCTGAATTAATGGTTTCTGAAAATGACCCCAATTCGCTGCATGTGATACCGCCAATTATCGCGAAGTATCGCTTAGTATCGTCTGCTGCTACCAAGTAAGATTGTCGCCAACTTCTGTGATTGTTGTTTTCACATACATATGCTACTGCTTCACTTCTACTTTTTTTCACATACATTTAAGAATATCGAGGGAGTAGTGAAGAAGACAGAGAACATCCGGCTCCGCGCTCACCTTTTCGACACTGCTGTCCTTCCTGCTTTAACGTACGCCTCGGAGACCTGGACTCTACGAAAGCAGGATGAGCATGCTGTCAGCGTTATTCAACGCGCTTTGGAAAGGACGATGCTTGGAATTTTTCTATACACGCAAGTGCAGGAGGTACCGGAGTTCCGAGCTCCGTCACCGAACGAAGATCAGGGATGCCGTTGATTACGCCAAGAAATCGAAGATCAGGTGGGCCGGACACGTTATGCGATATAGTGATGACCGTTGGACCAGGGCGGTTACTGACTGGATCCCTCGGGACATCAAACGAACTCCAGGAAGGCCGCCAACGAGATGGTCAGACTTCTTCACGAAAGCTCTGAACGAAAGGAATGTTGAACCTCGTGTCCCTGAAGCGAGAACGATTCACTGGACCACTCTGGCTCGTGACAGGGACGAATGGAGACGTTACTGGCGCCCGCTCGAGGAAGTCGATGATCAACGGGACGACAGGTGATACAGGTGATGCTACTGCTTATCAGAGGTACACGGATTGTGATGAATGGCGCTACGACGCAGAAGAACATGCCCTCGAATATCAGAAAACCTCAAGCTGTCGTTGCGCCTCATCGCTCAGCGTCGCTACATCCAGCTTTTGCACGTTCATTGCAGCCTATCATCGCACCGTGTCCTACAGTGCCCCACTATGATATTTATCGCCCGACGTTATCCGCTTCAACCAGGTTACCTGATTGCATAAAAAGAGCAAATGAGGGCGCCTCCTCGGCACCGAGACTTCTTTCATTCAAAGCAATTTTTCTTGGGGGAATGTCTATCAGGGCAGAGCTTTTACCACGAGAAATTTACATATCGACCGAGAAGTGGTTCGAGAGTCTTATGTCTCTAATCCATCACGTATATAAAAGAACACAACGAAAAATCGTGTGACCGATTCAGTTAAGTGGCCCTTAGTGGCTCTACGAAGGGCCGAGAAAAAATACTGTGACTAATTATCTCAAGTAGCGAGGCCTCGACATGGATACTATACAAGACATTCTTCGCCAGAGGTCGCCAACACAGCACCAAAGCAAAAACACCGAAGGGAAATTCTATTTAATCTCATATAACATTGAAATCATACCAAGTAGGGGGATGTGAAGAGTTCGGCAATTCAAAAGAAGGCAGAGCAGAATAATCCGCACAATTTCTTCTCCATGGTCCGGTCAAGTCTCAATGGGGTTGCACTTTGAATGCCTACGTAATCATCGGATCCGTGGCCTCCCTGGTGGTGGGCAGTCTTTTTTCAGCGAATCGGAGTGTAACTGAGTAAAGGCTTAGGCGGTGAAATGCAGGTGTTTATTATAAAAGTTAATTAATTAGAAAAAAAANAAAAAAAAGATCGAAAGGACATCAGAACAGAACGATATGATGAGAGTCTACTCAAAATAATTTCGATCAGAACTGTAAAACGAATACTGGTAACTAATATGGAAGCATTCGGATCGATTTATGAAACCCCCCTATGAAGAACGGCGATAAAGGGCTATAGTATATATTACTCGGCAAAAGGAAACAAGGTTGGTCGAAGACTAGCCGCTGACGTTTCCCTTCTAAATGCTTGAGATTTGACAGAAAAAAAAGTGATGGTTGCCCACTAAAGGATATATCCAGCCAATCCACATTTGTCACCTGCTGGGGAGGGCTCACATACATCGAATCGATCAAGTTTTACTGAATTAATCCGCTGGGAGCTGACCATCAAGTTTTCTTGACCAATCTCATAGGGTGTGCTACGGCAAAGTCAGTGCCCGCTAGCCCGCGCTCCCTCCAAGGCCACGTTCCTCGCCCCGAGCCACTAAACAACCAGTGAATTGCAGCCAATGTCATATGATAACCGTAACAGATGGACAAACCATAAAACACATAAATTGCGGTAATTATCGATAGAAGGGCTAGCGATGAAGTTTGAATGTGCGATTCGAATGAAGATAACCCCAGATGGCCGAAAAATTCGTTCCACCCAGAAGAGCCGGGAGAGTCTTCATGCTTGGAATGATGACCAGATGACCTTGGTCACCACCTTAATCCAAGAAACGAGAGATGAGTGGATTCTGCGAAGAGGAGCTGACGGTACCTAAGGCGGTATGGAACCCAAGGATCCAGCATCGAATTGAGGACGATTGCTAAGGTCGAGGAAGGGGAGAGGTGAGCGGAGGGAAGGCATTGGCCGGCCCAACGACCACCAAAAAAAATGAAGGCGACTTTGTTCGTTCGGGGTCGCATAGTACAGTACTATCAATCACCTACAAAATGCCTCTCCAATCGATATTCAGGGCTGTTGTTCGAGGACACCATACATGCAGACTCGCCTCAGCTGAAATTTGCCCAGAACTGGACAGTGAAGTGAA